TTTAACTTTTTGTGGTGGAGGGAGTTTTAAAAATTTTAAAATATTTAAATTTTTTCATAGGGAACCGAAAACTGTTCTCTCTCTCTTCTGTTTCTGTCATTGGGACCCACGCCAATGGGTATTATGGGAATAACATAATTATAAGGGTATGTTTTGAACTAACTTTTTTTTTTATTTTTGCAGGGGTATGCCTTGAAGTCTTTGTAGCATAATAGGGGTATTTTTGATAAAACCCCGGTTGAATAGACCGCACCGCCATCTTTGTACTATTTAATTTCATATAATATTCGATTATTATTTCCTCGGGTCCCCGCGTAATCAACCATCTTTCAATGCAAAATACGACATGAAATGCGATAAGAGATTTAGCAATAATTTCATGTGTTTCTTTGTCCTTTCTTTATATGTCATAAATGACATAAGCCTTAGAACATGCTATGTTTTTCTTTAGGAATAGATATTAATATGCAAACAAATACACCTAATTAGCATGGAAAAAATTATGATATATTTGATATTTTTGTATACAACTTTTTCAATTTTGTTACTACTATACATTCCTGGGTTTTCCATTTATTTTAAATTTTATTTAGCTTTCATTGAAAATTCTGTTAATTTTGTTAATTTTTTACATAACTTCTATTTAGATTCTGTTAATTTAAATTTAAAATATATATTCTTTCGATTTTGGGGTTTTCCATTGAAATATTTGTGGTATCATGGTTTTATTTTTGTCTTATATCTCTTATTTTATTTTCAAGAAAACGTGTAGTATGTTACAGAAAATCCATATGGACCAATATGGTTGAAGTTATGCAATTTAATCCGAATTTAAAAAAAAATCAATTGTTTAATATTTATCTATGATTTATTATTATTATTCCACTTAATTCAGGAGAGATTAAATCTTTTACCTAGAAGAGCGGAAAAAAAGAAAAAATGGCGCTGTGGTCTTTTACCTAAAAAAAAAAAGGGCTTTCAAAGAAATACAACTTGGCAATTGGCATTATTTATTTGACGACGCATTCATTTCAAATTGACCGTTCAATTTCGTTGGCTCGTTTGATAATTATATACCTATAAGTACGCATAACACGTACCTCTCGTCCTCTCACCACTTCATCCTCGTATCTTTTGTTTTTCCCATTGCAATAACAAAAACACTAAAACACGATGCAAGTCCACAAACTCTGTCTTCTTTCTCTACTCATCATCCTGTTCGGTTCTCAACCCAGTTTCGCCGTCAAGTTCAACTTCAAGAGTTTCGATGGCTCGGACTTGGTCTTCCTTGGAGACGCCGAGCTCGGAGCCGCACCAGATGGCACGAGCCGGTCCGGGTCTCTCTCCATGACACGTGATGACCCTTTCTCCCACGGTCGTGGACTGTACATCAATCCAATCCTTTTCAAGCCTTCAAACTCTTCTCCCTCTTCGACACCTTATCCATTTGAAACATCTTTCACATTCTCCATCAAACCCCAAAAGACAAATCCCATCCCTGGTCATGGCCTCGCCTTCGTCATCGTCCCCGAGGCAACCCACGACGTTGCGGGACCCGCTGGATTCCTCGGCTTCCTCAACCGCACCAACAATGGCAACCCTAACAACCACGCTTTCGCCGTAGAGTTCGACGTCGTTCAGGACAAAAGCCTAGGAGACATCAACGACAACCACGTCGGAATCGACGTGAACTCTGTCGTTTCGGTGGTTTCTGAGAAAGCCGGTTACTGGGTTCGGGCAAGAAGAGAGTGGTCGTTCCAGGAGGTGAAGCTGAGCAGTGGGGACAAGTACAAGGCCTGGATCGAGTACAGGAAGCAGAGGCTTACCGTCACGATCGCGCCTGAAGACGTTAAGAAACCCAAGAGGCCTTTGATCGATACGAACATCGATCTATCCAACGTCTTTCTCGAGAAAATGCACGCTGGCTTTAGCGGCGCGATGGGCCGTGGCATCGAGCGTCACGAGATATGGAGCTGGGGCTTCAAGAACACCGCCAAGAAGTGATGCTGAGACATTGGTTCGGTCTGTTTTCGTATCTTTTTTTTGTTATATTTAATTTGTTACCACAACTGGGGTCTTTGGAGACTTGGAGTGAATAAAAAGCCAAGCTTGTGGCTTTGTTGTGTTGTATGTTATGTTACAATTCATAGAAACATATCTGTAATAAAAGAATCTTGTTTACAAACTTTTTTATTTATTCCACAATATTGGGAATTGTGTAGAATTTTACCAGTAAAATTTACTATTGATTTGGGTTTCATTTTGGGATTTAGTTTTAAATTTAAAAAATAATTTTTAATATTTTTAATTTATACATTTACTAGTTAATTTGATTTTAGAGAAATCATATAGATTGAATTGAATTACGATACTTTTATTTTTACTCAACTCAATTTAGATTAAATTCAATTTTGAAAAATTGAATTGAATTCAGACTTGGGTTTGAATTGATACTTCCGATTTGGTCCAAAATTGAATAATCGAAGGCTGTTTGCTATTCAGATTGAATCCAATTCATTTCAGATTAATTTTATTTTTATAAAGATTGAATTCAATTCAGAGAATAGAGAATAACCGAATAAACATATAGAGAGATCTGTCATTCACGTGAGATATCTCTAGATTTGGTATAAATTAAATTAAGATTTCTATTAGTTTATTGCAATGCCGAAATCTAAACGAATCCGATCATGTTTAATTGTTTACAATCCGAAAAATAAAAAACTAATTTTTTTTTAGATAGATTCAATTATAGTGACGTTCGAATTTGGGCTAATTTGCACATATAAACCCTTTAGGTGTCTTGTGGTCTAAAATTAAGCTCTCAATTGTCATTATTATTTTTATTTAGTGAAAAAAAAAAGATATAATAAGCTTATTCATTAAAACATTTGAAGGTATGATAATGATCTCATGAATAAATTTTTGCCCCTCCATTGATGGGCCTTCTAATGGGCTTAGGTAGAGCCCAAATCCCCCCTATCCCATGACCCAAAAAAAATCATAATTCGGTTGACTTAGATGGATATATGAACGCATTCCCCCTACTCAAACCAAATATAATTCAATAGTAGCAAAAAGTGTCGTTATTAGGGAAATTTGTAAAAAAATTGCGTGAAGCCAATCATCTACTTATAGAAATTCCATTTTCAAAAAGAGTCATTACGCATGAACCGCTTTCCATAACGATATTATTTTATCGATATTATAAGGTTGAGAAATGCCATTAATGGAGCGTTACATTCTATAACCAACTCTAATGACATGACAATCTTATTACTAAATGTAATGTTGGTGAATAGATAGTGAAAGATGCAGAAACAGTTTGGGATTCGTAGGGTTCTCTATTTCTTAGTTAGGCAATTTTTTTTTTGCTTCTGCAAAAAAAAATTAAAATAAAAAAAAATCGACTTACATGTAATAAATTAGATCTATCTCGGAAAAATAAATCGATTTTTTTTTCTTTGGTTGTTGTTGTTGGACCGTCCAAATTGATAAAGATATCAAACCAAACTATATGGTCAAAATTATTTATTTACTTAGTCAATTTTCATCATATGTTTTGTGTGGAAATTAGGTGTAATTAAGAGCTCGTCCAACTCTTGACGTGGTCTAATGAAATTTGTTGACAACATAATCTACACCATTTTCCCATATCTAACCTGAAGCCAATCTGTCTAATTACCCTCATTAGTCATATGATTATTCTCGATGGAATTTAAGTTTCATTAAATACAATTGATTTCTTTAAAAATTGTTTTCTTAAGTTTTTTTAAAAAATTATTTTTATATTGGTTTCAGGTTAATTTGATATACTACATACTCGTTTTTTTATAACAGTCTACATTTAAAAACTATTTTTGTCAACGAATTAAATTATAATGAACATATAAATCTTTTAGCAAATTGGAATAGCACCAAAAAAAAAGTGAAAAGAAAGTGGGAACCAGCAAAGGGTTAGGCTGCAGTCAAGATCCATCCTCCGTTTGTACTTATTATTATGAGTTTGCCTATAACAGATATAGTAATAATAGCCCCACCATCTTCTCGCTATTGACATTCAACCATATTTTATATATATATATATATATATATAATGTTTAATTTTCCCACCCATACCAAAAGACAGAGACTTACTAAACTTGACTTTATAAATATTATACACGTCACATAAGTATATATTCTATGCATATAGAAATTTAAATCTAGTGTGTAAAAATAAAAATAAAAAATCTATTTTGTATAGTTTTGCATAGGAAAAATATGTGTGTAAAACTTCAAATTTATGCAAAAATACAAAAAAAAATATTGTTCAGCCTTTAAAATATGGGAAAATAGCCTTGATTTTAAAAAATAGCATACTAGGATCTGTGTTCTCTGCCCAGATGCGTGTGTAAGCATAAATAAAGTCCAACCTATATATACACTATATAGAACTACAATATTAAATCAAAAAAATTTAGAACAATAATTTTTAAAATATTTATTTATTAGAATAGTAGATTTACAGATAAAAAAAGGAGGAAAGGATTCATATCTAAATCAAAAAAAGGTGTGGTGCTCTCAACCCCAAAATATTCCAATTCAGGAATAATTAGGGAGACATATCTTCACCCTTCGCTCCTCACCCTAATTAATTTCTCAAAATAAAAAAAATATGAGATTATTAGGTCAATGAAAATATATTACTATATGATATGATATGATATGATATTTGACCCTAACCCCGACCCGATTAGCCGATCGCGACCATACACGTGTTCACGGACAGACCTACATTGGAAACACTTGTACATATAAATGAGAAAAGGTATCAACTTTTCAATGAATATTATTTTACCAAAATTATATTATTGTTGTCGGTTGAAAATGATCACTCAGGTTCTAGAATGATGAAATTGAGATTTTTTTTTACTTTCAAAATCCAGGGGAAAAAAACATTTTCAATGTAGGGTGAATTAATAGCTATGCAGCATTATTAAATCTGGCATATATTTTAAAATTGCCTAATAAAACAATTTTTTTTATTCCCTAGGCAACAATCTTCATGACAACTTTTTTTTTTCGCTCTTCGTTAAAGAAAGGTGGCAGATTAAAGAAGCCAGCCAATGGAGCTGCTCCTTTTATAAACCCTAAACCCCAAAGGCACTTTCAAAGCTAGAGAGAGAGAGTGAGTTCGTTGAAGAAGAAGACACACACACATATATTGCAATAACTCAATCGATCTAGAAGCTTCCGAAATGAACTTATCGATGGTGAGTTCAACGAAACCAGAAGATTCCAGAAACTTATCTTCTTCTTCTTCTTCTTCCAATAATGTCGCTGGATCTCTACACCGTCACATCATCACCAGATCTGATCACTGTCCGACAACCTTCGTCCAAGCCGACACTTCCTCCTTCAAACATGTCGTCCAGATGCTCACCGGCTCATCCCCTCCCACATCCCCAGATCCACCTCCTCCGCCGAAGAAACAGACGGGATACAAGCTCTACGAGCGGAGACATAACATCAAGAACAGCCTCATGATCAACACCCTCATGATCCGCGGCGGCGGCGGCGGAGGATTTAGCGGTAGTACGGGAATTTCACCGAGGAATCGGGAGATTTTGTCGCCGAGCTGTCTGGATTTCCCGAAGCTTGGTCTGAACAGCCCCGTAACGCCGCTGAAGAACGAAGGAGACCTGTTCGACAAGACGTCGCCATTGTCGGAGGAAGAGAGAGCGATTGCGGAGAAGGGTTTTTATCTGCATCCATCTCCGATTCCTACACCCCGAGATTCGGACCCGCAGCTGCTCCCTCTTTTCCCAGTGACTTCCCCTAGAGTCTCGCCGGAGGAATCTAATTGATTGATATAAGGGGAGGAGAGAGAAAGAGACGTGTGCAATTTTACTGCGGCTGTAATATCTTTTTACCTTCGTGATATGGTTAAGAAGTATTTTCAGTCCCACTTCTTTATACTATTTGCAAAACGTGACTATAAAAAATAAACGATCAGTTTCGTCCCCAACAGTTTGTTCTTCCGAGGGCACATTAGAGAATACTTTTAATTTGAGAGAATTGAATATTACAGTTTTAAAGAAAAATAGTTCCTACCACAAAAATATTATGAGGTGGCAACAACAGTCCATTCGATATCTATTTCTCTACTTTTTGAAAATTTTATATATGAATTATAATGGATAAAATATAAAAAAATATATAAATAAATATTTGTTATTCACATAGATACATCATCAACTATTTGAAATTTTCCGCGCATGTTGGGAAGCAAATGATGTAGTAGTTGTTAAACGAAAATATGCGAAAAAAGACATAATTTATATTATTATTATTGCTTCTTCATGTAATAATAATTAAAAAAAAAACAACGCGTTAGCTATGAAAGCCCCCACACAGAGCCAATGGCCTCATGAGCTATAAGTCAAGTCTCTTCTTCAGTACAAAACGGCACGTGCCTCTCCTTTGCTGTCCTGTCTCCATCACATCCCATCAGTTCTTTTCTTTTCTATATCCATATATGTTCTATGTGCAATTCCCTCGCTGTAATTCATAAGCAGTTTTAGAAAGAAAAAAAAAACAAAGCTTGACACAGTTTTACCCCGAGAGGAAGCTGTAAGAGATGGGATGGCATAATTTACACGGTAAAAAAAAAGAACCAGCAGGAGGCAACAAACCGTGTGACATTCATAGTTTTTTTGTTGAAATGTGACATTCATAGTTACAACGCAAACCCACGTATATATTAAGCCCAAATCCACATTCTCTCTCTCTCTCTCTCTCTCTCTCTCTCTCTCTCAATATCATATATATATATATATACACACATATATATATCATAATTTCTACAAGAGAGGAAGCAGACAAAAGAACAGGTGGTCCTTTGCCCTGACCCTTTTCTTCACCTTTTAAACACTTTATAAAAAATCTTACATATTCCACACTTCATTGCATCACCCGGCCAGGCCCCTCCCTCTCCCCCTCCACATCGGGGAAAATCACCCAAATAATCCACTTGGGTCGCATCTATTTCAGTGTACACCATCGAAATTTTTTTTTTTCAATTTTAACCCACTTTTCGGTTGAAAAAGTTCGAAATACCCTTTTCGTTTTATTTTTTGCGACCTTATTACGACTAACATATAAGTGATATACAATTAAAATAAGACAGATGATTTTTTTGCCACCTTTTTTAGAATCAATTGTAACTATATTTAGACTTAATTACGAAGTCGTAATAACGAAGTTGTTTTCGAACAGATAAATATCGTAATTCATTAAGGGTAATTTCGTCTTTTTATAGAAAAAAAAAATGTGTTACTAATTCGGTGGTGTACATGTGAAATAGATGCGACCCAAGTGGGTTATTTGGGTAAAAAACCCTCCGCGTTGCTAGCACGCCAGAGTTTTCGACCCCCACTATATATCGTCTCCCTAAAACACCCGCAACTTGAAAATCATATGCAGAAATATGGAGGGCAAAAGGACGCAAGGGCAAGACAAGGTTGCAGCATCCTACCTTGCCAAAGAAGAAGAAGAGGAAGCGGCGGAGAGGGCGAGAGATGGGGTTTCGTCCCGTCTGTGCCAGGCGGAGAAATGCACTGCCGATTTGACGGAGGCCAAGCAGTACCACCGCCGACACAGAGTCTGCGAAGTTCATGCCAAGGCACTTTCCGCCATGGTTGCCGGTGTAAGGCAGCGTTTCTGCCAACAATGCAGCAGGTCTAACTAATCTATAAGCGTGTTTGGTAAGAGAAGGGGGATTGGTATCTTTAATGGTTTTTTGAGCATATGTGTAGGTTTCACGAGCTTGTAGAGTTCGACGGAGCCAAGAGAAGTTGCAGGGGGCGCTTGGCTGGACACAACGAGCGGCGAAGGAAGAGCTCCCTCGACAGTTCCAAACAAGGGTCTGACCGGAGAGGGATCACGGACTAGACAGAAGCCCTCTGCTCTCTCTCTTCTGTCATCGTCTCCATTACAAGCCTCGTCAACTTAACCGTGATTTCGAGAGTATTATTTGTCTGTATTGTACGCCCTAGGAGGTTCTGTATGTTTTTGTAGGAGTGAATGTAATATTCAGCTAATCCAACATTACATTAAAATAATTTCGACTGATAAATTTGTAATATTTCGGTTGAGAAATATTATTTATTTATTTTGGAATTGGATAACGTACTCACATTCAATATGGGCCAAACAAAATCCTAAACGTAAGCCCACATACTTGAACGGCAGCGCGAGTAGCTTTTGTCAAAATTATCCTCAATTAAAATATTTAATTTCAATAAAAATTAATAAAAATGTGATTTAATAGAGGTATATATGACTTTTTCTTAATAATCGTGAATAAAATCTAAAATCACATTCTTTTAGAAATAGGGGGGATAGTTGCCATTGTGTGTCCAAACAAAATAACTGTCCGAAAGCTATTCGTACAATGTGTTTTCTCATAAGGTTCTTGTTGGTTTGTAGTCAACAACACTTGTATAATTAAAGGGTTTGCCTTAATTTGGTGACAAAAGGTAATATTTCTAACATTTCATTTATATTTAAAATTTCAATTTATGGCACAACCTAATAAATTAAAATTAAATTTTAAAAATTAAATCGTGTCGAAATAAGATTAAAAAAGCAGCCAGCCAGTTTCATAATAAAAGCAGTCAAAGGGAGAGGGTTGGGCGGATAAAACACCAGATAGCATGGGGGGGGGGGGGGGATAATATGTAGGTTTTCCATAATTATTTGATTTATTTATTGAGAGAAAAAGTTGACGGCATCGTTGCATAGGTCAGATAACAGACACGTGAAAGAGGACACTTCCATTGCATCAGACGGCGGCTATCATTTAACGGCGCGTCGGCGGCAGCCCCCCAATTACTTTTTTTTTAATACATAAATACTTACCGTGCTTTAATATTTTATCATTCAATTCTATATTTAGAATTTAGATAAAATAACAATATATTTGGAATTCAAACTTTTATCTTTCATTTCTATTGGTAATTATTCATTACACAAAATTTTAAAAAAATATTTCTAAAAAAATAATCAACCACTGTAAGCGAAAACAATAATTTGTGTACATATATTGAATTACATTAACCAATAATTAATTGGACACTATTAATTTCAAATTTAGGTTTTTATGTAAGTATACTGTATATCTTCCCATTTCTAGTTGGCAATATAGCATAGAGACTGGTTAGATTTGTCCGAATTATTTTAGCTATGGGTATGACTATGTCACATATTTTTTTAATACACACGCATAAGTGTGTGTATATATATATATGGAAGTGGTCCCACATGGTCGAAGTAGTATGAACTAGGACTGGGCACAAATAACTGAAAATCGGATATCCGTTGGATACCCGTCTCACGGATACCCGATTTTAGGGTACTCATAATTTTCAAATCCAAATCAAAATTCAGATTTTTCAATATCCGTGAATCCGAATCCAAATCCGGATAATGTAATTTTTAAAACCGGATACCCGCGGATATCCGATTATTATGATTATAAATAATTATATCTTATATTTATATAACATTTTTATAAAATATAATTATTTTAGATTAAATAATATCATATTTTTTTAATATTAATTCAAAAAAATTAAATTTATTATTATTTATCTCCTATTATCTCTTTTGTCTCATATATTTTATCATAATTCATCCATTTTTATAAATATATCTTCATTTTTGAAATTTTTATATATGAATATTGTTATTTTTGTTAAATAAATCTAGACCCGCGAATATCCGACCATTATTCTGGATACTCATATCCTAGATACTCGTAAATACCAAATCTTAGATACAAATCTTATAGTTAAATATCCGAGCCTTCCGGACCCAAATCCAAATCTCTCGATTTTCTCGGATATACCCGTGGCCACCCTAGTATGAACAACGTAGAAATCAACAACAAGGTCCACGTGGCGCCGCGCCAAAGACAATATGGGCCCATACCTTGGGTTACAAAACTGTCCAGGTACACGTGTATAAATATCATTTGTAACTCTCTCTGCATTTTCACTCGTGTGTACTGAGACCCCTTTATTTAAAAAGGCGACAAATGCACCCCTAAATATGTTTCGGACTCTCCTGGAATCAAATGTTTTGGTAGTTGGCAACATTGATACGTAGTTTTAGATCGAATGTACGGATATTGGACTTTTCAACATTTGATTGGTTCAACTATTTAACCAATACGAAGATTTTAGATTTTATAATCATTTTTTATTTAATATTGTCTTAATACGCAATACCGTTAGTATTTACAATAAATATTTGGTTCCACCTTGAATGTAATAATCATTTGACCAATTCTTACTTTTGGCAAGAAAAAAATATTTTAAAAAATATATGACTCGGTAATTTTATGGTTGGCTCATATTATATACATATATATTAGCCGAATAAAAGTTAAAATAGAGAAACAAAATGGATTTTAAGAACTATTTTATTTATTTATAGATTCATACTTAGACAAAAGAAAAAGAAATTTCTTTGAAGTTTGTTTATCACAAGAAAGAGATATTTCCACCGGATTGTACAATAAAACGGAACAATAAACATTGCAGCCAACAGTAGTAATATTTATTTACTGGTCCGTATGTATGCAGGCATATGAAAAATTAGCAGTAGGTAGGGAAACTTTTTTTTTAAAAAAAAGATTGGACTAAATTTGATAATTTCTGAATAATGTGGTTATATATGAAAGGATTGAGAAAGTGTGGGTTGGTTTAAAATGCCGACTGCGTGTGTGTGAGGATGCCACACGTGAGAAAACAAAAACTGGAAAAAAAAGGAGGGAAGAATTATGATTGGTTCGGATGTGATTCTGGATCAACTTCAAAGGTTGTGGGTCCCATCCACTGTTTCACACGTATCTGAACCTAGTTTATTATTATAGCCCGTATTAGAGAAAAAAATACACGTGTATAAATCTGATAGCATATCTTTGTTCAATTAAATGTAATTCCCTGCTTGCTTTTCCCCATTAATGGTACACATATTAGTGTCTAACTGTTTTAGAGTTTTACCCTCTTATTTACATTGTATATGTCAAACTATCTTTATTGATAAAGTGTCTTTGTCAACTTAAATATTGCAAAAGTAAATGTTTTTTTTTTTAGTTTTTTTGTGTTGTATACAAGTGAGTAAAGTGTGTGTGTATATATATATATATTAAATATATTTTTTCAACCCATAAAATGTCTCACACATTTGTATATTTTTTTATACATCTTAATACAAGAAAATAATGAGCTTTTTCCGTCTGCGCGTTAAATTACAATATTCATAAAAAGTTGAAAAATCAAGCCAAAAATCAAATTAAAAATCATCGTAATATGGAAAAGGTAGTTTGATGGCGTTTAATATTGCGATTATAAACCCAACAGATCGTGGGCGAGTGGTCAAGCTTGGGGTAGGAGGTAACTCCACCTTGAAGTTGAGTGTTCGATTCCTGACTGGTGGGAAGGGAGGTAATTTCTGGGTTTATATGATCTATATACAAAGGCTGTTTCCGCACCGAATGTTTACCTAGTTAGTACGCCCGAAGGGTAACAGTTAGGAGTCTTCCGTAATATAAAAAAAAAATATTGCGATTATAACGCAATCATTACACCAAGATCTTTTCTTTGTTCATATATATATACACCGTAATAATAGTAATTAATGGTTCGTTCAAAAAAGGGGTCTTGAGTTTTGGGAGAGTGGTACCGAGTGGGGGAGACTCGGGCAAGAGAGGAAGAGAGAAAGATGTGGGGCCAAAATGAAAAGAATCAAAAGTAGTAGATCCATTGTCCAAAAAGGAAAATTATTATTATTATGGAGAAAGACAGAGAAGCATCAAAACTTTGTCGGACGGTGGAGATGCACGTGACGACAACCCAGAATCCCGACATAAACCTCGTCAACACGGAATTTACAACCCCCAGAATCCCGTTCCGTTTACTACACACACTTTTACGTTCTAGGTTCTCTTTCACGGATATTAATCATTCCGGTTTTGATAGACATTTCACACACGGTACAGGGTAGACGTTTTAGAATCAAATGGAAACCTATTTGATTTTTTGTTTAATTGGACTTTGAAAAGAGTCTGGAGAAAATAAAAATATTATAAAATAAAAACTTATTTTTTTAGAAATGAAACAATCTAATAAAAACGATGGACATTTTTTTTATTTAAACAATTCATTTTTAATTAAAAATAAAACAATCTAATAAAAACATGTTTGTATAAAAATCCAAAAAAATGGATTTGTTGAATTTTCGTTGTTTTTTCTAATAAATTAGTTTTTTTGAATTTTTTACATAAACTTAAAAAAAAGGGCAGTGGGCCACGTCCTCTTGGACCGTCGGTGCCGCCGCCCCCTCCTTTTTTTTTAACCATTATTTTAAATTGTAATAATAATGAAAATAAATAAATAAATAAATGAATAGGTATTGGAAAAACAGTGTACATCCACGTGGATCCACTGAAGAAACAGCCGTTGGATCTTCACGCGAATCACGAAAAGATAGGTTTTGATCGTTGACAAAGAACACTCTTCTGCCTCTTATTATGAAGCCGCCTTCTACTCTCCCCAAACACGACGTCGTTTCCTTAACCACAGCACGATAATTATCCTCCACCATTGCCATTTTCTTAAAATTAAATAAAAACAAAAGGTGGTGCAGTAGAGTAGTATATAAAAAAAACTCAACGCTAATATATTTATTTACTACTTTAAAATATATATCTCTGTTATTGAATTTCTCATACGTTTTGCAAAAGAGTAACGAAATATTTGGAAACTAACTTCTCTTAAGATTTTAGTTGGTTTTTAGACATTTGTCACATGTAATATATTACTATGAAAATGATATGTTATTAGATACAGAATACAATAGTGAATAAATACCAACTATGATAAAACATGATATCATACATATTTTGGCATTATACAAAAATAATAACGGGATATATATCAGACACACACAAATACGTAGTATATGATCCTCTAATGAATTTTTCAGGTCGGAGATGTAGTGAAATCGAATCTTAAATTAGATTCTATTAAATGATAAACAAAAAAATATGAATAAAATAAAAAAAAAACAAAAAATAGAATTTTTTTTTCCTATGTATAATGGAAGTGTCAGTGTCTGAAATTTCGCAAGGGAGTCAGTAAGAGTGGGGACCACAAATGACGTAAGCAGGAAGAATTTTCTAACATGGGCGTCCCACGCCGGCTGCGTGTCTTGTCTGCTGGACACTTGGACCATTTGGTTTCAAGCCCGCCATACTTTTTGATCCTCATTTTATTTAAATAATAATAATAATAATAATAATAATGATAGATTTTCCGTGTTTTCAGTTTGGTTGGAGAATGTAACACTAAACAACATTAGTTCAGATCTCAGATTATGTAATAATATGTACATAACGATCCTTACATGTCAGCTAAAATAAATTTTCCCCTCTGGATTCCTTTTTTTAATCTAAAAAAACGGATAATAATTTTTTTTAGAGGGAGAGAGAAAAAAAAAACTACGGAAAACGTAATCTCTCTCAGCTAAAAAAAAAACGCAGGCATCAAAAGCTCAGGCCTGTTCCGGCGGAGGAGGCAAGTTGAGATCTAGATCTAACGGCTGAGATCTCTTCCCCGACCCACCCTCGAAATCGACGACCGACGACGAGTCCGAGTCACTCTGCCGGCCCATTCCGATCAAGTTCAAGAATAGAACCGGACGCGCCACCGGGATCTGGTAACACGCGCGGCCACCGAGGCAGAGCTGGAGCTCCGGCGGAGAAGCACAGTCGAGGGTGGTGGTGCTGTGGTTAGGGCTGGGGGCGAGAGGGGAAGGGAAATTAGTCTTGGCCTTGGCGCCGCGGAACTCACGCGCCGCCGCATCGTAGGCACGCGCGGCGTCCTCGGCTGTGTCGAAGGTGCCGAGCCAGACACGCGTCTTCTTCCCCGGATCTCTGATCTCGGCGGCGTAGCGGCCCCACGGACGCTTCCTGACGCCCCTGTAACGGATCTCCTTGGCACTCGGGTTCGGAGAAACCGGGTCGGGTCTCTTCGTCATACCAGAAAGAGAGAGAGAGAGGGAGAGATAAGGGGAAAAGAGAAGGGCTCTACATATAATGGGGAGGGAAAG